TGACAATACAGGAAAATGTACAAATAAACGCCTGAGGCACAGGTATCCATTCTGCACCAGGTATGATGTCGGTTAGGCTGCATATTTGCCTAATAACATCTTCTGCCCGACCTAGCCACGATTTTCCCCTCTTCAGTCTGTCGCCCTTTTCACTAAAAAGCGCTTGATGCAGTGGGTGTTTCTTATCAGCACATATTTTGAGGTATGCCCGAGCCCTCCACATTCTGATCCTTTGGTTCATTGTTGGAAAGTCAAGTAGATACCTCATTGCTTCACAGGATGTGTCTCTTGTACATCCCAAAATAATGCGCATGGCTTCATTTTGCACCTTTTCGAGTCTTTCAATCTGGGTAGCACTGACAGTGAGGATGGCCAGAGCGTATTCAATGGGTGAAAGGACCAGACCGTAGAATAGAAGTATTAGTAGTCTTTGCTCTATATTGGAAGCAGCCATAATCCTCATTGCAGATAGACCTTTGCGTGCTTTTGTTATCACATGGTCAACGTGTTCCCTGAATGACAAGCTGCGATCGAACCTCACCCCGAGAAACGTCATAACGTTGGTTCTGATCAATATGTTATCACGCATTTTCACTTCTGGTAAGTCCGACTTGACAATGTGATTGTTCAAAGAGAACCATGACACTGATGCCTTCGAAGGATTGACATAGGCATTGGAACCATCACACCAGGCGGCAATTCGATCGAGTTCTTTGTGCATTGTGCTGGCGATCTCCTGTCTATCACGCCCTCGTCGATAAATCAAAATGTCATCAGCAAATGACAAAGTCCTTCCTTTTCCATTCAACTGCTGCTCAGTGATCATCACCGTATAAACGTTGAATAAGACTGGTGATAGCGGTGATCCCTGTGGCAAGCCTGGACATATCGTTTGCGGTTCTGAGGACCAGCTACCACATCTTAGTACAATCTTTCTCTGGAACAGGATAGCAGCAATCCAGCGGATCAGAATAGGATTGACTTCTAGTTTAAGCAGTAATTGCATTAAATATTCGTATGGTACTTTATTGTAGGCATCTTCTAAGTCCAACACTGCCGCACATGTCTCTTCTTTAATATGAAATCCCTCGTACACAACGTAGGCGAAAACAGCAGCATTGAACCATGTCTCTTTCTTCAACCTGTACCCTCCAAGTGTTGATGGGAACTTATCATGTAGTTCCAAGTAGGTGGTCAATCTTTGTGCGACAATTTTTTCCAAAAGTTTGCCAACAGTATTCTGCATCGAGATGATTCTGTAGCCGCAGATCTTTGAGTGGTCTTTATTAGGCTTTGGTAGTGGGAACAAATAACTATGGAGCCATTCCTCTTGTATCTGGCCACTCTGGATGCTGATATTGAATTCCTTTGCCACGCTTTTCAAATCAGCATTCGACATCATCAGCATGTCATTGTATCGGATGCCGTCAGGGCCTGGAGCAGTGCTGCGCGATTTCTTGAGGCAAGTTCTTAAGGTGTCTGCAGTGATTGTGAAATCAGTGCCTAGCTCAGTGTTCTCGCACAGCATCGACAGTTTCATCTTAACCCCTATTCTTGCAGCTTCGTCTTTTTGGTCAGTTTGCTCCAAGTAGCGCGCAAGAAGGGTTTTTCCTTTATCAGCATCAGTTCTCTGCCATATCAGGTCTGTACCCTGAAAATCAGGGATACCCCTTGGTCGTGCGGCGCCGTGCATGCTCCGTTGAAGGCGCCAGAATGTCACAAGAGATCCCTCGGAGCAAACGCTCTTGCAGAATTCGTTAGCATTATGCCGGCCGTCTTTACTTTTTCCCGGACAGCCATCCTGGTACCCATTTTAGGCTGGGTCGACCTGCAACATCCCATACCTTGATAAAGATCCATGCAGAGGAAACTACAATCAATGATCTTTAATGTGCTTCCTTCATCCAGCACCAAGCAAGGCTGAGGTTTACAACTGTATGCAGATACAGATCTATGCAGGCCAATGTTCAATCTGCAATGTCTAAGCAACTTAACATAAGACTTGCAGGGTTTGATCAGCTGTCTGCTGTGTCTGTAGCCAACCTTTATTCTGGAGATGGCACATACATTTTTGTTTCCCACTTCATCTATATAAAGGTGGTGGGATAAATCTGAGTTTATGCAGGTGACTGTTCAATATATTGTGTCCCGGGTGTTATGGAAAATGATTCTATGTTCTGCTCAATAGCTGTCTCTGTACTGGTTGAACTTAACAGACTATCACAGCATTTCTCAGAATGCCATCTCAGAGCATAAAATGACTGCCTCCATCACCATTCTCATGCTATAGGAACATTACTGGTATAGTATAGATAGCAGATGAATTCAATGATCATTCAATAATTCCCTTACTTGACATGCTCAGTGCAGCAGAACAGAACCAATGACATCTCCATGCCAAGGCTGATATGTTACAGACAGCAATCATTTAACAAACAAAATCCCACAGATTTCTGATGACTCTACTGCTGGCTGTCCCTAAACTTGCTATTCTGTGAAGTTCTCTGTAGGTTTCAGGGACCATTTTCTCACAATTGGCACCTACAATATATTATGCTTTACAGACCAATCTGTACTCAATAAGGTCAACATCACTCTGACCGCCTTTACATTACAAAATAGTACCTGGTACCATTTAAGACTGAGTCAACCTGGGTGCCCTATGTCTAGTTAAAAGATTTGCCCTAAATCAAACCTGATAACTCTATGCTGTCAAGCAAGTATCCAGCTACTGCACCGCAGATCCCCGATACAGGAGGCTTGAAGAAAGCACATACTGACAACTGATGGAAGAGACTGTTTCTCTCAGTACCAGCTGAAAATCTTTTAATTCATAAAATCATGCGATACTGAGTACTTTAAACAAATAAATCAAGGCAAACTACAGTTACGTTATATGTATTGTAAACAAAAGTAATAACTAGAGCAACAGAAACAGGTTCTTTCAAAATCATCTAAAACTAATGACACTTTTTTTTTAAACAACATCAAAGCAATAAATAAAACAATACAGACAGGTTCCAAACAAAAGTAATGTCAAAACAATAAAAGGAACAAAACATGCAGTTTTCTAAACACTAAAATCATCATCATCATTATCATCCTATACATCGCATGGGCCTGCAGAAGCAATCAATAAAATAGTGCATATGATCTTTTACACACAAAACTCAGGAAAACAATCAATGAAACAATACAGTTTTTAAAAAACAACATCACAGCAATAAATAAAACAATACACAAGTTTATTAAGCTACAGTCAAAGCAATAAATGAAACAATACAGTTTCTTCAAACTAATGTCACAGCAATAAATGCACACAATTTATTAAAGCTACTGTTAAAGAAGTAAATGAACCAATACAAACAAGTTCCTAATAAACTAAAATAAGAGCAATCAATGAAACAAAAATACAAAGGTTCCTCAATGTCAATAAATTCCATGCTGTGTATCATTAGTAACCATTGGTAACCTTCTGTCTGGTGCACTTTCAATCATTTCTGACACAGATGCTCCTAAATGCTGTGATACCAAACTGTCTAGTATCTTCTCTCTTGATCTCCCTCTTCTCTTCTCACTTTTCTAATGTCATGATCTACCGCATATTTCGCCTTCTCATAGGTAAAGGTAAAAGGTAAAGTCGGGAGATGTAAACCAGCATCATTGCACACGGTTATAAACCATAAGTGCTCTGCCACCAGTACGGACAGCTGATAAGAATTGTCCGCCTGTGTCGCCGTCCGCACGTAACTCTGTAGCTACAGCGACGTTCCTCCATTTACCTCACTCTGGTACCCATTTCCTAGAGGCTAGGTGAACCCCGGGAGCTGCCCGGTTTCGAACACTGGTCGTGGGCTGCAGTGAGTCGCAGCTGGATTTGAAAGCGAACCTCTTATTGACTGCGCTAATGCGGCCCCTGCCTTCTCATAATGTGACCAAAGAATGTAAATTGTCTCTTTCTAAAGCAAAAATACTAAAAATAAGCAATCAATGAAATAATATACACATTTGTTCTTATTAAACATATTTATGGGTAACAAATTATGGCGGGGAAAAAGTGGCACAAACAGAAAAGTCACACATCTAAATATGTTGAGATCAGATTAATAAAACAAAAATGGCACACCAGAAAATGGACAGATTAAAGAAACAAATTGTCAAGAGTTGAAATGATTCAGTAACACTGTTTTGTATATTCAAATGATCAAATTCTTTAGAACAAACATAGTTGGAAAAAAACAATTATCTTGTTCTTACATGCAATTTATCCTAATTCAACTTACTTGTTTGCATTAATGTGCTTTCATTAAGAGTAAAGTAAAGAGTAAAGATACCTTTTCACGCCTTCCACGCATTGGGCATATGTGAAGAGCGTCCCATATTTGTACAGACCAATCGGCACTGGGTTGGTAATGTGGTCATCTTTACTTCCCCAGGACAGCCATCCCGGTACCCATTTAAGGCTGGATCAACCTGCGACACCCCACACCATGATAAAAATCCACGTAGCCAGCAGTGGGTTTCGATCGCGGTACGTTGGAATTACGAGTCAGACTCGCAACACTCTAGCCACGGATGCCTGCTTTCATTAAACAGATAGCTAAAATATTCTCTCCATAAAATACTTTCTCTCCCAATTTCTTTTTATTCTTCACACACTCTTTTACCTTTGGTTATCAAGAGAGATATTAAATTCTGCTTCTTGGTCTCCTGGACACCTTATCTAAAGACACACTACTGCTGTAGAATTTATCTGATGTTCTCTTTCTCTTTTTTTATTTAATTGGTCTACATCGTACTTTACAGCCCTCTCTTATTTTGGTTTTAGTTTTCTTAGTTCCCCACAAGGCACTCTTTTTATTTGCTGTCTTTGTAAATAACTGACCTACCTCAATCTCTGATCTATCAAAAACATGAACATTTATTTTAAAAACATCTGAAATGAGAATCACTAAAGGTGAAGGGTAAGTTACAACTGCAAAGTGTTTTTTTCCTTGCAGTTAAACAACACTTTTAATGGCTCTGCTAAGGAAAATAACAAGAATGGCTGAACCAAACAAAGAAACAGTGAAACCGAATCCCTCTGGCTGTCCTACCTGGCCTCTGAACCACAATACCATCTTGGCAATGAAACTATCAGGCTTGAACTTCTTTGGAGGTTCATCCTAAAAGACAACAGACAGAATAAAGTCATGATTTTTTTGTGTGGCAATTTATAAAATCCTTCAAAACATGCTTATTAAAAGTTATTCATCATATCTGACATTGTGCTACTACTAGACATGTAGTAAGGTTAGATGAAATTTAAGTTTGTAAAATGACAGAAGCAGTATGGATATAATCAGCATATGTTCTGTTTTCACCAACTGCCATTGACAACCTAGGGCAGGGCTATTCAAGTGGTGGCCCACAGGCAAAATCGGACCCACGTGGCAAGTGGCCCACATATCATTGCCAATTGTATCGTATTGATAACCTTTCTACGCTGGGACTCAAGCTTCTGGCCCGTGGCGATCCTCATTTTCAACATTCTGGCGCCTAAGTAAACTTAGCTGAATAACCTTGACCTAGGGTGCAACTGACGTATAAGTTCAGACAACAGGACGATGGCACCACATTGTTTGACGATGAAAGATTATACATATGTCAGCCACATCCAGGGATCAAACTCAAGATGACCACATCAGCCATTGAGTGCAGACTGTTCTATACAGATCCGGGTCTAGCATCACATGCCTGAAGTACCAACCAAACAGACGCTTTATCCTTGCAGTTCACTTCAACATACGTTTACTGATGACTCTATTACACCGCATACATCGTCTAACTTCTTCTGTCCCATTCTTCTGTTACATTCATCCATTCTACCGCAGTAGCTACTCTATCTCATCCTATTTCACTTTCTACTATTGTAATCGCTGAGACCTGTTGCTTTAAAGTATATTAACTCTAAATTAGAAAGTGTTTCTAGTAACAAGTGTCATACTAAAAGAGTTGATTTGATTTGATTCAAGAACCGACATCACAGCACTCAGGACATTCCTGTAAGTGCTCTGTCCCCATCTTCAGCAGCCAGCGAAGAGTTCCGATAATAATTTTGCCAGTAACATTCTGATTAAACATCTGTCTTGCCTTTCCTCTGAGCCTCGAGCATCTGTCAGAACCTCTCGTCACTCCCCTCTGCATCAATCTCACCCGACTGGTGATCCATCTGCTACTCCGAACTTTCCATGCTCTCCCACAAGGCACTTACCACGTCGGCCTTATCATGCATCAGTATTCCACCTAGTGCAGAGCCAGACAGTCTGTCCGCCTGTTCATTTCCCAACACACCATCGTGCCCTGGTAAAAAAAAATTCCAGACAATACACCTCACCCGTGTCCTCCGCAGCAAAACATGCCACTATGCACGAAGTTATGGCTGTCATTTTGATATAGGCAAAGAAGAAATGTTGGTCCACAAAGTCACTTTCTGAGAACATTCCTGCCTTCTTCACTCAGATCATGACACAGAAACAGATCACAAACTGAATCCATGCACTGAAAACAAAGAGTGTGATTTTATTTTGATCATGGGGTTGATCACATTCTGAACTGTAAACAAACTTGCTATCCCTACCTGCAGTATTTTGGATGCCTTCAGGTAATCAGCAAAGGCCTTGTCTTCCAGTGAAAACCCTGGCAGATATGTGTGCTTCTCTTCTCTCTTCCACCAGTCACTGGACACAGATGACATCATTTATTTAACAAACATTCTAGGAAATACTCTTATGTTCTATAATGTTTGGTCAAGACATAATATGATCTGTGCAAACAAATGTTAATCATAAAATCATTGCCACAGTCTGTGACACCTCTGTTAATATTGTAGCAATAACATCAAGAATAGATCATCATATCTGACATGAAACAAAACAATTCACTTATCCATCATGAAATTGATTGGACCTGTAATATGACATATATTTTTATATATTTTTTTTTATATTTCATGACCACATGGCTTTAGGGTTAACTCATAAAATGAGAATATGGGTATGTTAAGAAAGTAATGACAAACTGACCAACAGCCCCTGTGTGCCATTTCATTAAAATACCTATGAATCCATGGCCATGACCTTGTATTAACAACAACAAAAAAGCAACACCTACCAGCGAGTCTTGCCTGCACAGTCCTTGGGACTTGTGTAATGGTAGTGGTAGAGTGTGGCTCTGATGTACTTTGGTGGCTTGTCAGGGAACGGGTTGTGAGCTAGTAACTGCAAGACTTCCGGCTGGTTCTGCAGAAGTCGACACACCAAGTTCAGGAACCAGGGATTGTTCTGGTAGTTGCCCAGTGCAGCAAACCACATCTGCCAGTCTAGCCTGGGCTGGTGAGGGGCTGCAAGCAGAATGTGTGGAAATATGTAAGGGGCTGCAAGCAGAATGTGTGGTAATACATGAGGGGCTGCAAGCAGAATGTGTGGTAATACATGAGGAGCTGCAAGCAGAATGTGTGGTAATACATGAGGGGCTGCAAGCAGAATGTGTGGTAATACACGAGGGGCTGCAAGCAGAATGTGTGGTAATACATGAGGGGCTGCAAGCAGAATGTGTGGTAATATATGAGGGGCTGCAAGCAGAATGTGTGGTAATACATGAGGGGCTGCAAGCAGAATGTGTGGTAACATGTGAGGGAGTACAGGTGCACACTTGTGTAAAAGGATTCTTTCTAAATATTACCAGAATAAGAATGAGAGATTAATAGAGGCATATCTTTGTGTTTGAATAAAGTATTTAACAGGATGTAGCATTGATCATAATCTTGAGAACATTTTAAGCATTCATTATAAAGCCTTGATAACTCAGATGGAGGAATTATATCAAAGAAATGAATTGTGATGATTTACTGATTTAAGAATTGACATCATCCCACACCAGGCATACCCCCAGGTGCTCTATCTCCCGCAGCAAATGTCTTAAGGTGCAGATGCCGACTGTTCCTGTAGCACACCGATTTTAAACTCATTATCTTCCTCTCATACATCCCTCCTTGCCTAATCCACACGCTTAGTTTCTCATTCACACTCTCTTACACTTGTTATATAACCTAACCTTGTGTCTTATACCAGCATTAGTTCCTAAATGGTCTTCAGAATGCCTCCTTTGAATAGTATGAGTGCTCCTGTAGCTATCGCTTTTGTAGCCAGAAAATCCGCTATTTCGTTGCCTAGCATAGTATATCCACAATCAATGAGGTGCCATCTCCATGATGAGGGTTGGCAGCAATGAATCTCCAACATGCTACATAGCTCACAGCGGTTATACACTATCTAAGACTGATGTTTTTCCATCTCTTGACTGATATTATCCTGCCACTTGTATCACTGTCTACCTCTTGTTCGCCTGCCTTCAATTCTCTTTCCACTATAGATTTTGTAAAAATTTGATCTCTCAATGTGGTTAAAATGTTTCTCATGTCCTTTTTTTTATTTATTTCAACAGCTCTCTTTTCATCCCTAATCAAATTGTAGTGAAACCAAAGTAGTAATCCACAATGTACAGAGTATTTTATGCAACATAAGATGTCTGCAACGAAATTGAGAAAAAGACCACTAATAAGCTGGATGTGAATCATGGAGAATTAGCAGATCTGGAAAGAGTTACATGGAGTCTGCAGAAATCATGCTATAGTAGGATTCACATCTTCTTGGGCAGATACAAAGAGCAATGACAACAATTAAATCTCAAGAGAAAGCTACTCATCAAGAGAACTAGAAGTGAATAATACACATTCTGTGGGGGTGGGGGGGGGGGGGGGGGGAGAACGTTGAACAGATGTTGCCCACAGTCAAGAAACAAGGTCAAGAAAGACTGTGAAATATGTAAGAATGATGCCAGACATTTTGATACGATAGCATGGAGACAGATTTCCAGAAAATGTTTAGAGGTTGTGGACATACATGACGCTGATCGACACCATACTGTATTCGAGACTGCAGGCTGTAAACACATATTAGGATAGTCGAAAGGATCAACTTCACCGCACCAGGTTTCATCCTGGATGGCTCATTCTTTCTCCGCAGAACAACTAGCCTGCCTGCATGGTGTGTCACACAAGGCACAAACACCTAGCTCTGGTGATGATCCCCATGGGTCTCTGTAAAAACTGCACTCGTGAACCAAACATTGCAGCCATGAAACTAACCCTTGACCCTCCAGGTGCAAGCCAGGTTGACCACTTCACCATGAAGACCCCACCCTTTTAGTCTTCTTAGGGAAATATGTCACTTGTTTAACTTGTGCCTGTTTGCTTAACTTGTGTCTGTTTGTTTAACTTGTGCCTGTTTGGTTAACTTGTGCCTGTTTGGTTAACTTGTGCCTGTTTGCTTAACTTGTGTCTATTTGCTTAACTTGTGCCTGTTTGCTTAACTTGTGCCTGTTTGCTTAACTTGTGCCTGTTTTCCTGTTTAAAATCTATCAGCAGCTTAAAATGTCTAAAAGCAGACCACATTTGTGTTGAATTGGCAAAATGTGAATTGGCGACAACCTGTCCATCAAAAACACAATATGCGGCTACTTGTCATAACAATTCTATCTGACTGCACATTATATCAAATATATATATGATTCTATACAGTGGTATGTTTAACAGTTTGATCTGGTCCATAAATGTTGTGTCTTATTTGTCACATAAGAATGGATGAATGAAAAATAAGAAATGTATTCAAATGTTATTCTCTGAAATATGATAAAGCTATTTGAAACAAGAACTACACGTGCTTAACTCTCCTATGAAACACCTACCTACTATTGGAGGAGCTTCAGACACATTTCCAGGCTTGTAGAGAAACTCATAAGTCAACCAACCATCTGCTGCTTGTCTGTCTTTGGCATGACCTTCAATGATCAATTCAGGTCGTCCTCCAACTCCAGTCATCCTGCCACACACCAAAAAAAAAAAAACTAATGATGTTTATATGGAAACAGAATCAAAACAGGCACAAAGTGTAAAAACTTATGGTAAAAGACCTATCAGATGTACATAGGTTTGTAAAGAAACTCAAAAGTCAACCAACCATTGTTGATATTGATGACATCACCCACTGAGTGTTGATTGGTCTTGTAACAATGATATGTCAATAATTTAGTTTTATCAATTATTTTGTATGTATTCTGCTTCCAATTCGATGACTCACTCTTAACACACAATGTGTTACAAATAAAGCAGTTGTGAAGCTGCGGGTCAGTGCGATTAAATCTTTACTCTAGCCTTTGGAAACAGAAGCTCAGTCAGGCACAGATGAGTCTTGCAACCACCCTTGCTGAGCAATGTGCAATTAGAGTACATATTTATAAGTAATAAAATTGCTTTCTTTGCTTTAAAAGTATGACAAGAAATATTTATTTTTTTCAATATTAAACTGCTACTATAGTTTTAAATATATTTGTCTCTAATGGTAATTTATTAAAATTGGGAAAATAAATATACCTTTTCAATGTTAAATTATCCCTATTTATAAAAGAAATATTTATTTTTACATGTTATTGTACTATGAAAGAAATTTACTGTCTAATGTTAAATTATTACTACTATGAACAGAAATATTCATTTCCAACTGTTAAACAGCTACTATTATCAAAAGAAATATCTTTTTTCTAAATGTACAATTATATTCTTATTACAAACTATACAATCAATATGGTCACCATTCCCCCTAAAATGTGCATGTAGCAGTTCATACATTTAAGCTCTTGGCACAAATGGTTTTTTTTTTTTTTTTGCAAAACACAGCAAGAAATGTTCTGGATGACACTGGGACTGCTGTCTATCCATATCTTGATCTTATCCTCACAAGTTATGTTTCACCTCATCATGTGTGACCACAAATTGCTGCATCTGTTTCACGCCATTACTGGTAACCACAAATTACTACATTAGTTATAACTCATTACAGGTGACTAAATATTGCTACATCTGTTTCACCTCATCACAGGTGACTAAGTCTTGCTAATCTGTTTCACCTCATCACAGGTGACTAAGTCTTGCTAATCTGTTTCACCTCATCACAGGTGACAATTCTTGCTAATCTGTTTCACCTCATCACAGGTTACTAAACACTGCTACAGCTGTTTCATCTCATCAAAGGTGACTTAATATTGCTACAGCTGTTTCACCTCAACACAGGTGACTATAGATTGCTACAGCTGTTTCACCTCATCAGGGAAGAAGAAAAATTTGCTACATCTTATCACAGGTGACTATAGATTGCTTCAGCTGTTTCACCTCAATACAGGTGACTGCAGACTGCTACATCAATTTCACCTCAACACAGGTGACTACAGATTGCTAAAGCAGTTTCACCTCATCACAGGTAACCAAAGATTGCTACATCTGTTTCATCTCATCATAGGTGACCGCAGGCTGCTACATCTGTTCAACCTCATCATGGGTCACTATAAATCGCTACATCTGTTTCACCTCATCACAGGTAACCAAAGATTGCTACATCTGTTTCACCTCATCACAGGTGACCGCAGACTACTATATCTGTTTAACCTCAGCATGGGTCACCACAAAGTGCTTCATCTGTTTCACCTCATCATAGGTAACCACAGACTGCTACATGTTTCACCTTATCACATGTAACCACAGATTGCCACATATGTTTCACCCCATCACAGGTACCCACAGACTGCTACATGTTTCACCTTATCACAGGTAACCACAGATTGCCACATCTGTTTCACCTCATCATAGGTAACCACAGACTGCTACATGTTTCAATTCATCACAGCTGATACAGACTGCCACACCTGTTTAACCTCATCATGCGTGACCACAAATTGCTACATCTGTTTCTTCTCATCACAGGTAACCACAAATTGCTAAATCTTTGTCACATCATCACAGCTGACTACAGACTGCTCCACGTATTCTACCTTGTCACAGGTGGGCAAGACAATTTTGACATCTTCACATATTGTTGGCACTATGCGAAGTCATCTAAGAGTTAAATCAGTGTTCTGAGAACATCACGTCTCAGCACTGATATCTCAATAAAAATGTTGTAGCTGCAAGAAAAGTAACACTTCTTTGTAACCTATTTGGTAATGGAATTCATATGTGTACCTCTGGTATACTATAAAGTGATAAGTAACAGACCTTAGGTGACTATGGCATACTGCCAACAAATGTACATTGGATGTTAATATTTTTATTTGTGTGCTTTATGACAAGCACTTTTAACTGATATTTCTATTGTCTTCATTATCTTAAAAACAACAATTTAATCACTAAGCTATGTTTCTTCACAAACCAAGAGGTCATCAATTCTGCCAGTTTGTGTTACAGAAAGCATGTCCTAAAATATTAAGCAAACTTATTGTTCTGATTGTACCAGTTAGTATTTGATAACAAAGTCCTAGACTAAACACAAAAACATTAACATCAAATATGAATGTGACTGCCAAACTATTGCTTACAGTTAATCTTATAAATAGGTGTGTGGTTACATCAAAAAGGGTTTTTTAAAAATTAACTGATCACAGTGATGCAATCAATGAGGGGATTTAGAAAACAATGTCAACAAGCATTAAAAAGTATCAAAAACAACATTCAGGGTACCATTATTGGCATTCTGATGGTAGATGGACAAGGGTGCCACTGGAGCTGGCTCACCACTCAAGGAAAGGGGGAGATGGATATACAATCAAATAGTTAGTGGTACCATTGGAACTGGAACAAACAGCATTCACTTTAAGAAGACAGATGACAACCATTAGCCTTGCAGTGTTTGAGAAACCATTGACCTTGTAGTGTTTGAGAAACCATTGACCTTGTAGTGTTTGAGAAACCATTGACCTTGTAGTGTTTGAGAAACCATTGACCTTGTAGTGTTTGAGAAACTTTGACCTTGTAGTGTTTGAGAAACTTTGACCTTGTAGTGTTTGAGAAACCATTGACCTTGTAGTGTTTGAGAAACCATTGACCTTGTAGTGTTTGAGAAACCATTGACCTTGTAGTGTTTGAGAAACCATTGGCCTTGTAGTGTTTGAGAAACCATTGGCCTTGCAGTGTTTGAGAAACCATTGGCCTTGCAGTGTTTGAGAAATCAATGGCCTTGCAGTGTTTGAGAAACCACTGGCCTTGCAGTTTGAGAAACCAATGGCCTTGCAGTGTTTGAGAAACCACTGACCTTGCAGTGTTTGAGAAACCATTGGCCTTGCAGTGTTTGAGAAACCAATGGACTTGCAGTGTTTGAGAAACCATTGACCTTGCAGTGAGAAACCACTGGCCTTGCAGTTTGAGAAACCAATGGCCTTGCAGTGTTTGAGAAACCACTGGCCTTGCAGTGTTTGAGAAACCATTGGCTTTGCAGTTTGAGAAACCATTGGCCTTGCAGTGTTTGAGAAACCACTGGCCTTGCAGTGTTTGAGAAACCACTGGCCTTGCAGTGTTTGAGATACCATTGGCCTTGCAGTGTTTGAGAAACCATTGGCCTTGCAGTGTTTGAGAAACCATTGACCTTGCAGTGTTTGAGAAACCATTGACCTTGCAGTGTTTGAGAAACCATTGGCCTTGCAGTGAGAAACCCCTGACCTTGTAGTGAGAAACCCCTGGCCTTGCAGTGTTTGAGAAACCCCTGGCCTTGCAGTGTTTGAGAAACCCCTGGCCTTGCAGTGAGAAACCCCTGACCTTGTAGTGAGAAACCCCTGACCTTGTAGTGAGAAACCCCTGGCCTTGCAGTGTTTGAGAAACCCCTGGCCTTGCAGTGAGAAACCCCTGGCCTTGCAGTGTTTGAGAAACCCCTGGCCTTGCAGTGTTTGAGAAACCCCTGGCCTTGCAGTGTTTGAGAAACCCCTGGCCTTGCAGTGAGAAACCCCTGGCCTTGCAGGGTTTGAGAAACCATATTTTTTAAACAAATGAGAGAATGACATCCAACAGTCTTTATCGTTATCAACAGCCAAGTACATTTCAGTTAACAAACATAAACACCTATGTTGATTCAAACAGAATTACACACAAGACAAATGTTACATACGTTGTAACAGTATCTTACGTTCGGAAAAGGCCATAGGAGCTGGTGATTTGAAATGGTTCAAGTTTATCATGCCAGGACTTGGCAAAGCTGGGCAGCTGAGAAAACAGCTTAGCATCCAGGTAACTAAGGGGCCCCTATGCCATAATGGAAAATAGGAAAGAAATACATGGAGAACAACCAGGGCAGACATCTTCTTCTGTCTAAAGAACCTGTTCACGTAATAATTCCCAAGAAACTGTTTGTGTGATAATTCACAAGTTACAACTGCTCGTGTCTGAGAGCTGTTGGGGTAATACTCTTGAGCCTGCTGAGGTGGCATAGCATGTGGGCTAAATTGTTTTACTGACAGATTAGATGAAGTAGCAAGGTTCTGGTAAACTATCAACAGGAAAGAACAAGATTATACTAGCAGGGTGAAAAATGATAGGTGTCAAATTCAAATACTATCAAGCAGCACATCATGATAATCTGAAATTATTAATTAGTCTCAAAATTTGGGGGCAATATACGTTAGGTTTTGCTGATTAGTGTTATTTTCAACAACAAAAATTTCAAAAGTATTAATTTCAAAGTGTTACAGGGCAGTTTGGCAGCTGTCAGAAGAAAGCCCATAACAGACAATTCCCAGAAAAAAAAAATGTGTCTCTGAACAATCTTACAATGTTTTTTTTTTTATTTTTTGTCTTTATTTTGAGACACTTAACAGAAATTAAACATTACTTATTTTGAATATCTTAGGTTTCAATGCAATATCACAACTCGAAGTGACCAATACAGAAATGAAAACCAGTCTCGCTTAACTGTTACTGACATGATCCAAGAAGTTATCAGGAAACTATTCATCCCAAATCCAAATCACTTATCACTTATGTTTTGTAGAGCCCGAAAGAAGACACATTTTATTATCTAGAAAATATAACAACTGAAGACTGTTAGACAACTATCTAATATATCTTCGACTACTGCAATTTTACATTTAATTCTCTTGTCTACAACTCCAATTAAAATATGATTTATGTAGATTAGCCAAATCTGTATTTTAAACTGTTAACTGCCACTTATCAAGGATAATTGTCTTCTTTTTTTTTTTTAAAGGAATTTCATGAGAAAAAGCATTTACTTTGGGTGTGAAATATGATAATCACAACACGAACATCATTTCAACAAACAGGTCTGAACCATGGACTCTGGACAAAATTGCAAGACAAAAATGACTTGGAAAACTTTGAGACATACTGGAACTGCAGGACGCAAATTGCAAACTGGACTTACCAGCCATCAAATTAATACATTCTCAAAGACAGGAAAAACTCCTGACCAATCTGAATTGTTGAATAAAAACAGAAGGCTGTCTTGACTTGATCGCAATTTGAAAATAAATTTAAAGGTTTGAGGATTGACTTGGTCGCAATAAGAAAATGAATTTAAAGGTTAGAGGATTGACCCCACTGCAGACAGTCTTTTGCCATGTGACTCAAATCTCCTTGTACAGAGCAGCTGGCCACCTTCTGATTGCATAACACAAAGCACAGACTCTTTACTTCCAGTGAGCTTCTCCAGAAATCTAAAACAAATATACTAAACAACACAGTCCAAAAATAAACCAATGACTTCAGAGCATAAAGCACACAGTTAGACCACTTTGCAAAAAAAAGATAATATGTGACTTTTAGCAGTTCTGTAGGAAACAATCCAGAGGAAACAGAGGACATCCAACACACTACAAAACACTCCAACACACTCCAACACACTACAACACACCGGCAGGCAGGGAGACTGTGGGGTTCAGGCTTAGATTTGGACAGAATTGTTGGGAGTTAGCAATCATGATGAGAAATTAACAGATGATTTCAATACCAGTCTTAGAACTTCCAACATGGCAGATGATGATAACCATAATGTACGTCTGACATGTATTCATTTGCTTAGCTCTGTCCTCTCTAAACTACTGGTCAGACAAAAAAAATACTATATATTTATAATATGTAATCCATTTTAGCTTTATTTATATTATTATATTTGTGTTTAACCCCTTAAGATTATACTCCTACATGGTTTTTTTTGTTTTTTTTTTACATTTTGTATACCTAATATTCAGTACTTTTTAGGAAGATGTTCAAATAAATAACAGGCACAGCAGAGACAAAGGAAATACTGACTTCAATCAATAAGAATAATAGTGCAAAAGCTTTCACTAAAATCTAGAATAAAGTATGAAAGCAAAACTAAGCAATGGATTGATTACAGCTTTCCAAAGAGAGCACACAAAAAATATAATCACCATAACTGTGTCAAGACAAAATTATGAAACTGGAATATGCCTCTATTTATTATAGAATGTTGAATAGAGGCATACTTCAGCATACTCAGGTATAATAAACAAAAACACACATATAAGATTCCTTGTAATTAGAGCTTGCCATTTAGCCCACATGTATGTCAATGTACCTCCTAAACAGCCCATATGAGCTGGTCACGTGGAAGGGCCTGGTCAGACCATGATAAGTAAAGACTGCCCTTGGCAGTATCCCTTGTGCTGGCTTGTGGACTATGGTATGGGGCACCTACAGATTCACAGCATACAACAATCAATTATAAGTGTAGCAGTTAAACATCCATCCCTCTGTTCATGTTAGTGTTTTCTACCAGTAATGAATACATGGTAACCTTTAAATAAATGTTTAAAAGCACATCAGTTACATCATGGTGGTTATAATGCTGACTTATCAATATAGTGTCCTAGAATTCAATCTCTGAATACTGACAGAAATGGATTCAAGTCTATGTAACAGCATCACACCTCCTGCCTGTGTGCCTGGCATTCAAGTCTATGTAACAGCACCTCCTGCCTGTGTGCCTGGCATTCACGTATATGTAACACCTCCTGTCTGTGTGCCTGGCATTCAAGTCTATGTAACAGCACCTCCTGCCTGTGTGCCTGGCATTCAAGTATATGTAACAGCACCTCCTGCCTGTGTACCTGGCATTCAAGTCTATGTAACAGCACCTCCTGCCTGTGTGCCTGGCATTCAAGTCTATGTAACAGCACCTCCTGCCTGTGTGCCTGGCATTCAAGTCTATGTAATAACACCTCCTGCCTGTGTACCTGTCATTCAAGTCTATGTAACAGCAACTCCTGCCTGTGTGCCTGGCATTCAAGTCTATGTAACAGCACCTCCTGCCTGTGTGCCTGGCATTCAAGTCTATGTAACAGCACCTCCTGCATGTGTGCCAGGCATTCAAGTCTATGTAATAACACGTCCTGCCTGTTTACATGGCATTCAAGTCTAAGTAACAGCAGTTCCTGTCCTGTGTGCCTGGCATTCAAGTATATGTAACAGCATCTCCTGCTTGAATACGTGGCATTCAAGTCTATGTAACACCTCCTGCCTGTGTGCCTGGCATTCAAGTCTGTGTAATAACACCTCCTGACTGTGTGCCTGGCATTCAAGTCTATGTAACACCTCCTGTCTGTGTGCCTGGCATTCAAGTCTATGTAATAACACCTCCTGACTGTGTGCCTGGCATTCAAGTCTATGTAATAACACCTCAATGAGTGATTCAATGGCTACATCCTTTGTGGACAAACTCCACAGAGCAGGCAAGGATCCAAATGCATGGTATCTATATTCTTTTGTGGGCAAGTTTTCTTATCTGGAAATTTGGTCTGGTCAACAGCCTATTAAATGTCCTCTTTTCCATTCAAACTGCCAAGAGATTTTGAACAAGTACACTTAAGACTGATTAACCTGAGAGTGTCACATACAACTGGCTTTTTTTTTTTTAAACATGGCATTGGCAGTTTTAAACATCATCAAGTGCCACAGATAAGTGAGCCATCAGATGAAAAGTGATGAACTAGACACATTAAATCTTTCAACTGTTTCAGTACCAAGCAAGTGTTACTTTACCTCTTGTTGTTCAAAGAAATTATTGTAAGTAATCAACATTCGCATCTGAGAATATAATATCACCATGGAACAGAAGGAGTTAAAGTAACAACTGGGTGGAATGGATTAGTGTCAGAAGTGGTCGGATCACAAAGGGTCCAATTTATACAAAAGTCCAGAGAAAAAAAGAAAAAACATTGGATCATGCCAGTGAAATCAATCAAGGCAAGGTGAGCTGCCTGGTACTGATTGTGCTAAATGTATTAATTATTCTCATGACCCTTTTCAGGCCTGCAGCACTCAGGCATATGGTGCTAGACCTTTATCTCTATAGACCAATATATGAGTGATGTGGCTGGCATCAAACCAGCTACCTTTACTTCCCAGGACATTTTACTGTTGCCCATTTTTGGCTGGGTCAACCTGGAACCCTGAGTCAATTATAAAAATTCATCCCGATATGGATTCACACTTAACATCTTCTGGTTAGCAAGCTAGTATCTAGCCACTTAAGCTTCTATGGCTTCCAAATGTTCAAGATGTCAAAGACTAAGGTGATTTCCAGGTCAGACACAGAGAGACAGATGTTGGAACTCCACCCTCAGTAGGTGATACGTAGATAGAACTCATACTGTATTTACAATTTTGATTATGTCAAAGGTGAATGTGATTATCAAATGAGTTGTTGTTGTTGTTGTTGTTATCGATCCAGCGGCGCATGAGCTTTCGCCCTTTGGCCCAATGCCATGTAGTCGAATTTGCATGTTTTCACAAGCTGTTCTTTTCCTCCGTACAAGGTGTTCTACTTGTCTGGTCTCGGAGGGAGTAGCATTCTTCTAGTCTCGCCGAGTTTTGGGCCCTCAGAGAGATGGTGTTCAACAGTTTCATAGGGGTAGTTACATAACTGGCACTCTGATTTCAAAGACTAAGGTGATTTCCAGGTCAGACACAGAGAGACAGATGTTGGAACTCCACCCTCAGTAGGTGATACGTAGATAGAACTCACACTGTATTAAAAATTCTGATTATGTCAAAGGTGAATGTGATTATCAAATGAGTAAATATGATTCTCTGTCAAAGGTGAATGTGATTATCAAATGAGTAAATGTGATACTCTGTCAAAGGTGAATGTGATTATCAAATGAGTAAATATGATTCTCTGTCAAAGGTGAATGTGATTATCAAATGAGTAAATATGATTCTCTGTCAAAGGTGAATGTGATTATCAAATGAGTAAATGTGATACTCTGTCAAAGGTGAATGTGATTATCAAATGAGTAATTAAATGTGATTCTCAAAGGTGAATGTATTTTCAAATGATGATATTCTCTGTCAAAGGTGAATGTGATTATCAAATGAGTAAATGTGATACTCTGTCAAAGGTGAATGTGATTATCAAATGAGTAAATGTGATACTCTGTCAAAGGTGAATGTGATTATCAAATGAGTAAATGTGATACTCTGTCAAAGGTGAATGTGATTATCAAATGAGTAAATGTGATACTCTGTCAAAGGTGAATGTGATTATCAAATGAGTAAATGTGATTCTCTGTCAAAGGTGAATGTGATTATCAAATGAGTAAACGTGATACTCTGGTGGCTAACTATTCAATGGCATCATGGACTCACCAAGCTGATGGTGAACATGAACACAGCCACCAGTGAGAAGAACACAGTTCCCAGCACACACATCAGTTTCCTGGTTAAGCCCTTCTCTACAATCAGACTCCTGGGGAGCCAACACTCAATCAATTACACTGATACTGGCTGAACAACATGAACAAAAGTAAAGAAAGGAATGCTTCTGTGACATGTGAAATAAATCATACTTACATATTTACAGAGAAAATGGCTATTCGGTTACAAAGAGATACACTAAACTATATATTTATAGAGAAAATGCCTATTTAGTTACAAAAAGATACACTAATTAAACTATATATTTATAGAGAAAATGCCTATTCAGTTACAAAGATTTACACTAATTAAACTATATATTTACCGAGAAAATTCCTATTCAGTTACAAAAAGATAAAATAATTAAACTATATATTTACCGAGAAAATGCCTATTCAGTTACAAAGAGATAAATTAATTGAACTATATACTTACGGAGAAAATGCCTATTCAATTACAAAGAGATAAATTAATTGAACTATATTTTTACGGAGAAAATGCCTATTCAGTTACAAAGAGATACACTAATCAAACTGACTTTAGCTAAGCTCATTGTCACCAAGAAGTCATATAATGTATCCATCACAGAGATATTATCTTCTTCATAAACTCCAGCTGCAAGGTGTGAGGTCACGCATTATTTACATTTAGCATCCCTTGCATCTTTTCTCCAGAACATGCAGACTAGTGTGTGACCTTTCTCCAGAACATATAGGCGTGTGTGTGACCTTTCTCAAGAACATATAGGCATGTGTGTGACCTTTCTCCACGACATGCAGGCATATGTGTGACCTTTCTCCAGAACATATAGGCGTGTGTGTGACCTTTCTCCACGACATGCAGACTAGTGTGTGACCTTTCTCCAGATCATATAGGCGTATGTGTGACCTTTCTCCAGAACATAAAGGCGTGTGTGTGACCTTTCTCCAGAACATAAAGGCGTGTGTGTGACCTTTCTCCAGAACATATAGGCGTGTGTGTGACCTTTCTCCAGGACATGCAGATGTGTTTGTGTGTGTACGTATACATAATCAGAATTATTAGTACAGTATGTGTGCTGTCGTCATCGGTTTGCTCCCTGGCTGAGCTAGACTTTTTTCAAAAATGACCTTGGCTCCCAGGTCGACCCAGCCTTGAGTGGGTACCGGGTGCAGTCCTGGGAAGTAGAAGCGGCCGGCGTGATGCTGACCACAGCACCTATCTTGTGCCGATTGGTCTATAAAATATAGGTCTAGCCCTATATGCCCTATACGCCTAAAGGCGTGGAAAAGGGTCCTTTACTTTTACTTGTGTGCTGTCTCTGTATCACTTACTGGGTGAGGAGTTCCACATACATATACAGACATATATATATATGTACAAAAACACACATATATATATATATATATATATATATATATATATATATATATATATATATATATATAGAGAGAGAGAGAGTTGAAGTAATTATGTTAAACAGAGAGAGAGAGACCGTTGAGGTAATTATGTGAAACAGAGAGAGACCGTTGAAGTAATTATGTGGAATAGAGAGAGAGAGGCTGACAGATTGCCTGCTTTGCACCTCCGGGTGGTTAACTGATGCATGACAAGCTTGATGCGGTCAAGGCCCTGTGGCAGCAAAAGTGAACAATGTGGAATTGTGACTACATTATTACAGTGTGGAGAGAAGCTGTTCAGTGGAGGATGACCAGGGAATCTAACATACACCCTACACTAAGAAGAAAAGCAAACCAGACATATAATCAAATTCCTACTGGTACTATCAGAACCGCAATTCTGTTCTGGCTGCTGAAAATGGGGATGGGGCACTATGGGAATGTCGCAAGTACTGATGATTCTTTCCTTAGCTCAAAGCAAATACACAACAGTAAAAATGTAACTCTGAATTATATAAAACTCAAAGGTGAACTAATATCACCTTAACAACAACATCAGCAGCCACCTGAATTCATCTCAAATGTTTGAACAGTTACCTAATGAATGATGTGACCACTTCCAGACCCAGGGATGCTGCCCCCAGGTAGATGGTATATGGCATGATCTTCTCCAGCCAGTTAGTAAACTGCTCTTTGGTAAAAGCTATGGAAAAATTTTTGCACCATTATGCTTCAAATTAATTCTCTGGTTCATGCCTTCATATTTGTGACTGAAAATGAGGAATTCAGAGGATTCAATATTTCAGGAGTTTTTCTGACAACCTGCTAGAAATATACTAAATTGTATAAAATAAATACAATAAATATAATAAGTTTGTTGATAAAACAACACAAAAATATTAGGTGTTTACCCTCTTTCATTTCTTATTTAGTGAGTAGAGATGTTTAACATAAATTATTATGGGAAGTTAAGGCAGTCAGCATGACAATTTTCAAATCTCATATCAATTCCCAGGGTGGCGCGGTGATTTATGTCACAGGCGTGAGGGGAAGTTAAGTCCAACATGATGTGTATAAGGAGATACTCCGTACGTCACTCGGGCGCCAGTCCTTTACTATCCTGGTTGTACGAAACCTCACGCAAGACCCCTACAGCACGTCCTCGTCGTGCGCCACGGATAATGTCTCAAATGAGCATTAACAGAGCTGTCAGGGGATCTCGGAGTTTGGCGGCCCCCAGAGGTGATGTGTCCTTGTGGCTCTCATCAGCCCGCCCCCAAACGCTTGGGTGAAAAATGTTATCAAAACTCACCAGGAACATGAGTAGGTTTAACAAAAGTACAGCTAAAATTACAACCCTTGGTTAAAAGACTGCTGAGTAAAGAGAACATTGCTCAATGCTCATCCTCGGTTAATCCTCAGTGTCGTCGTCACCGCGCTGAGGTGCACCACAACAGCAACCATACATGGGCTGGCCATCCTTGTGCATCCTCGGTTGGCCCTCAGTGTCGTCGTCACCGCGCTGAGATGCACCACAACAGCAACCATCCATAGGCTGGCCAGTCACGTACATCCTCGGTTAACCCTCAGTGTCGTCGTCACCGCGCTGTGGTACACCACAACAGCAACCATCCATCGGATGGCTAAGCCTAAATGTCCGACAAAACAAGATCATACGGATCAAAATCTGACCATCAAAATTTGCACTGAACTGAAAGAGGCCGAGGGTCCACACCCAAAGACCCCACTCGCCCGAGTGTTGGGACAAAACTGATAACGATATGCCTGATTCAGGATGTGAAATTCTGTCGGGCTAATGTACCTATCTGTGTGGCCACAAAAGTCCAAAACCCACGGGCTGCTCCCCGCTGACTTCCAGAGGGCGCAGCCCCTGTCGAGCGGGAGGCCTGATACGGATGTGAGGTTAAGCAGGCATGTGCAGGACGTGACGATTCCTTGGGTGAGCCCAGAACCAGAGCGCCATGTGCCGGCTCTGCATGCATGGAAGCCTCCTTGGATGGCGGGGAATGCCCATGATCTGCCCCTGCCTTCCCTTGAGGGCCAACTGTTCCACAGGGGGCTGCCCCAAAGGGGTACTCCGGGGGCAATACCTGCGGCGAAGGAGACAAGGCGGACACCACTCAAATCAGGCAAAGTCTCGACCCACACAAAACAATGGCCACAGTCTCTCTAGAAATAGGCCTGACGTCTTCCTTCGAAGTCGGCGTACAGCTGCCCAAGAGGCAGGGAAATGAAAAACGGTTGTACACGCAAAAATCAGGTCCAGGTGAAAGCCAAAAGTCCAAGCGGACGATTAACCGGGACCTTCCACTGGAATTCACAGCCGGTGTTCGATGAAAAAAAAAAAAAAAAATCCCAGTTTGTCTATAAAAATATCAGGTTTGCATTACATGCCTAACTTTTCCAAGGTGTGGAAACAGGTTTTTTCTACTGTACTTACTGCACAATCTGTTGTGGTGTTACCCTGACCTATTAATATTAAATGAAAGTATTTTACTCTGCCTGTCAAAGTGGAACAGAACTATTTTAATAAACAATGCTAAAAAATAATTTTTACAATATAACCCTGTCATCTCAGTAACACTAAGAAAATGCTAGTAAAAATTATAGAAAAAAACTTTAAAAAAAAAAATATTTCAAAATATGTTAATTTACTAGATTGAATGCCTGACTTCGCCCGGGATAGAGAATGAAAGTCTTATTCTCCAGTCCTCTACCTCATTGTCTCCACCGCTGCCCTATATGCACGCCTGGTGGAAATGCTGATGGGTCTAACTAAAACCCTATATTTAATATCCTGTCTTCTACTTCATCTGCCTTCACCGTTGACGTATCTTTAGTCACTGCCCCTAAATACACATGAGGCATCTCCTGTTATACTAACACCAGTACTTAACAATTTGAGAAACAGACAAATATATTGTCTCAGGCACAAGACATATGATATGTGGTTTTAATAGAAAAAAAAACAGCAAAATATAATTTTTTTTAAAATTACCCTTTCAATGGAAGTAATAGGGAAAAAATTCAACAGGATATAACTCCAGCTAAAGCTCACTTTTACTGATTGTCACCATAAGTTTTTTTTAATGTGCAAACACCTTGGCCAACAATGTGACTGTTAAATCAAACACTGTAGTCATGATGTCATATGAAAATTTAACCTTGTTCTGGTCACAGTTTGAAATGAGTTAACACTTCATTTATAATAAACAGACGAAATACAGAAAGTGTTTGTGATTTATATATAGTACAGATGTAAAGGAAGTTATATTAAAAAAAAACATAACAAATTTTGCATTAAAGGAAATATAATCCCCAGGGCATAAAAAACAATGTTCTGGGTTACTCATGCTGTGACCCTGTGACCTCTATGAATGAGGCTTAGGGGAAAATCTGAGGTCAACTGGCTTTTTAAAAAGTAATCCAATTTGCTAGAAAAATCGCTCTAAATGCTATTTTTATCCAATATACTGATATCCTGACCTCCCAAATGTTTGCACAGGTGCAAACTCAGGCAACAGCACTAACTGCATCTTGTAAACACGTCACTGTCAACAAATTGGAAAAGTGACATTTAAGAGGATTAGGACCCATCTAGAGGTGTCGGTTTAGCCACCTCTTGGGATAACAGGATTAAACTAGCTGCTACAAGCAATGCAACATCAATAATTTATGCCTGTTCTATTCTTCATAAATTATCTGTCCTTCTTTATTCAACCTTTTCAGCCCCAAGCAATGCTACTATGTTACTGGTTCTACCTCCTAAATTCTAGTTATCACACTATTCATCCTACAATGTTTACATTTGATCAAAGAACATTCTCAAAATCTGACTTTCCTGGCAGCCATTTCCACTGAAAGAGTTTTTACTGTATGCATTTTCATGACTGAGCACCTGCTGCTAACATCTTCTTTGACAGAAAAAAAGTTATTGAAATGTAAAACACTATTGTCTCACCAATTTTGGAGCTGACGGTGTAGTCATTGTTAAACTTCAAGCTGAAGAGAATGACGCTCATGTAGCTAATGTATCCAAGAACTACAACTGGAAACACGATATTGGCAATCTTCTGCAACACTGTCCAGGCTTTTGACTGCTTCTTGCCTCCAACTAACGACAGAACAACAATAAAACATAACTTCTGAAACGTTACCAACTAATCTTCTCAAACACAAACATGCACATTGAGATTCACACATTAATATATTAATATATATTTTTTTCTTCTTTTTTTTTTTCAGCAAGCTGAAAAACGTTTAATGAAAAATAGGGCACAGATGTTGACGGGCTAAGAGAAAAACAAATTAGGCAGTCTTCCTTGAGATACGTGAAAATCATAAACTAGTCAGAGAAACTACACAGAAAATCAAGGCATTCTGCACATGCTATGAGAAGAAATGAACTCAAAAACCTGGTGACAAATGACAAACTTGGTGGAAAAATGAATAAGTGGAAGACAAAAAGATAAATACCTGCATGGTTTGAGTAAGACAAGAACACTTGAAGGAAGAGCGAGATGAATAAACAATCAGACAGTTACTGGTAGCATCAGAACTCTTCGCTTGCTGTTAACGGTAGGGATGGAGCGCTTATGGGGGTGTCCCGAGTGCAGTGACGTTGATTCTTAATTCAACATTAAACACTCTCCCTCTCTTTAGCCAATTCTCCAGCCCAATGTGCCTTCAAGGCCAATGCATCGTCAATGTCTTGTATCCATATTCGCCAAGGTTGGCCTCTGCCTCATTTTCCAGAAAACTGCACCCTTCATCCCAGTTCTCACCAGGCCACAACGACCCCAACATGGTCAAAGTACCAAAGCTTTTGGGACAACAGACTGACATGAATAAAAATAACAGAATCATTTCATAATCAAAGTTCTGTGGGGTTGGCAATGATTACATGTAAGCTTTTATGTTAGCTACAGTACATTACCACAACTATTGTCAGGGTACTTTATCATGCCTACCTCTGTATCTGGGCTGTGTGAAGAGGCTGGAAGAATCATCCAAAAGTGATATGCACAGGGTGATAGTCAGCAAGTTAAAGAAGTTGTAGTTTCCTGTCATAATGATGAACACTTGCAGTAGGACCTGTTGACAGAGCACAAGAGTCATCATCTTGTAGTAGGGATCTCATGGTTTATGTTTAATTTTTAATGTTTAATTAAGAATCAACATCACAGGATGCAGAACAATCATTAGCGCTCTATCCCTCCCTTCAACAGCATGCATAAAATTCTGATGGTACCAGTTTAACAGTTTCCTTGTGTATCCTCCACACTTTTTCCCTGAGTTTTCATCGTCTGCCAGATCCCCTGGTCACTCCTCGCAGCACCATCCTCCTCAGACAGTATAGCTTCTGTGCTGTTTACTCGCCCCCCAAATAGCCCTTAAAACATCTATCTTGTCATGCATCAATCTGCCACCAAATTGTGCCAGAACCAGCCAGTCTATCTGCCTGTTCATTTCCCAATACACCAGCATCCCTGAAGAAAATAGTACACTAACTACCTGGGAACACTGAAGGGATGCATGCCACTTTTCATGAAGCATACCTGTCTCCATCTTTCTCACCATGCTCAGTGAATCAGTTATAATTATGACATGTGTATATATATGATTCTCAAGCCAGCAGAAGGCCTCTGTTACTACCTCCAACTCCATTCTCAGACTAGATGTTGTGGTATCATATGTCAGGCTTTGTTGCGACTCAGCGACATCCATTCGCTTTTGCTAAGAAACCCCAAGTACTTCCTCTGCATCTCAACACATTCACATACTTCCCTACAAAACAGGTACACGTATGCTTGCTTGCACACACACAATACATACAAAACACAAGGGCAGGAGTGGGCGCACATGCACGCGGGCGCACACACATCTCTCTCTCTCTCTCTCTCTCTCTCTCTCTCTCTCTCTCTCTCTCTCTTTCTCTCTCTCTCTCTCTCTCTCTCTATATATATATATATATATATATATATATATATATAGAGAGAGAGAGAGAGAGAGAGAGAGAATATATTCTTCTTCTTCTTCTTTGCGTTCACCAGCTGTACACTCTGGTGGAAAGTTCTGGTTGTTCGTCCACTTCTGAACTGCAGTCCTGCCCCAGAACCTGAGTGTTGCATGTGCATCAGTCTTACAGATCTGATTCACTTGAATGCAGACTGTTGGTTCCTTGCCTCTCAGGCTTATGCACTATGACTTCAAAGGAAGCTCCCCAATTAGTCGACTCTTACGACATGCTTTTGGGTAGGCAGAGGGTCTATTCTTGTTTTCCCCATGATGGGGCCCCGGAACCCACACGGGGATTATATATATATATTAATATTCTTTAATACTGGGTAAAAGTAAGGCACAAGGTTACGGGGTTTTCCGCAATGCCGCTGATGTCACGTGTTGTATATTTCAGCACGCCAGCGCTTTTAACACTCTAGAAACATGGTCCTAACACAACCCACCCAGAGAGTGCTGCAACATATGTCACAGGCATTCTCTTTTATTTGGAATGAAAACGTAAATGCAAGACATCACAAAAAGCCACACACCCGTAACCTTCAGGAAAGTCGACCAGCCCAACAAACTTGTGAATGAAAAGTGACCTATTCTGTTTGAGGAGACTAACGTGAACCTAGCCTAATCATCATCATGTAGCAGGTCCTTTGCAGAAAGTCGCTCTCATCACAGTCTGCCTGAAAAAAAAAAACTAGGTCTCTCACCAGCTCTCCAGCCTCAAGTACTTTCATAATCAAGGAGTCACTTTTATCCTGTGACCATCTTGGTGTTGGTCGGCCCCTGCCCCTCCTTCATGGTACCATGCCTTCTGCTATAATTTTTTTTTTAATCTGTTGTGGCGCTTGATATGACCAAAATATTTCAGCTTCCGAGACAGGATGCTGTATATTAGCCAATCTTCCTTGATGTTCAGATTTTTCAAGATGTCAGTTTTCTTCTCTTCTTTGTCTAAGATATTCTGAGAATCTTTCTATAGCATTTCAGCTCAAAAGGTCCAATTCTCTTTCTTAAGGACTGGAAGATAGTCATGATTCACATCCGTATGTTGCGACAGGGAAGATGCATACTCTCAAAATTCTTATTTTATCTCCTTGCTGTTTAATCTTTGCATTGCTATGATCATCCTCCTTTTAATTTCTGTCAAACAGTCTCCATTGCTATTTATTATAGAGCCTAGATATTCAAGGTATGTGACATTTTCAATTTCTTCATTATTTATTGTTATTTTTGGGTGGCAGCCAGTTTTATCTGTGTAATTATTTTCGTTTTCTTTGGTTTCCATGATGAGTTTACCTAACCTAATACTGCCAGGACAACAAATCAAAGAGTTATAATAATCAGTATAGGTATTTGCAGTAATTATGAAACAAAGTTTCTGAAGCTGTTTTCAAAGTGTCACATAAATACTGTTTCTCATGTACTTAATAATGTCCCTATTTGTTATTTTTACTTGATACTTGGTACTTTTACTCTAACTTACACCCTCCTCTACAGTCTTTATATTAGTCCCGTGTGTACTGATTACTTATTATTCATTTTAACTTCTCTTGTCGCAGACTGGCCAACAACATAAATGATCAAATAGCGCCACTTTTCACAAATCAAAATATCAACATGCGCATAAAAAAAGCAGCTGATAAATGTGTCATTTGCACCAACTTTGTGCTATCATGCCAAACAATGACAGTCCTAGTCCTAGAGAAACATAAATGCAAACTGCAACATGTCAGATGAGATGTATCAGAAATATGGCAGAAACAAAATCAGAAGAGACAGAGTCACCAGTGATGAACTAAGAACGATGGTAAGCACAGTACCAGTACAATAATTTTACAGGACATTAAACAATCAAATGGTTTGGTCACCTGGTCAAAATGGAACAAAATCAGCCAGCAGCTAAAGTGTACTATATGAGAACAGCAGGATACTAGTCAAGAGGCCGACCAAGAAAGAGATGGAGGAAAGCAGTTTAAAAAAAGACACTACAAAAACGCAGTGTGACATTAACAAAGCTATGTAAATAGAAAAGAAGAAGAAGAAGAAGAAGAAGAAGAAGAAGAAGAAGAAGAAGAAGAAGAAGAAGAAGAAGAAGAAGAAGAAGAAGAAGAAGAAGAAGAAGAAGAAGAAGAAGAAGAAGAAGAAGAAAAAGAAGAAGAAGAAGATTATATTAAAGTAACACCCTATTGTTTAAACAGATAGTTATTACCTTGAAGTAACACACTCCTGTTTAAACAGACACTTACTACTTTAAAGTCAGACCCTAATGTTTAAACAGATAGTTATTACCTTGAAGTAACATGCTCCTGTTTAAACAGACACTTACTACTTTAAGTAAACACCCCAGTGTTTAAACAGATAGTTATTACCTTGAAGTAACACGCTCCTGTTTAAACAGACACTTACTACTTTAAAGTGAGACCCTAGTGTTTAAACAATTACTACTGTAAAGTACCACGCACCTGTTTAAACAGTTACCCTAATGTTTTAATAGACAGTTACTACTTAAAAGTAACACTCTACTGTTCAAAGTTACCACTGTAAAGTGACACCCTAATGTTTAAACAAACAGCTACTACCTTAAAGTTATTTTCTAATGTTTAAACTGTTTATTACTGTAAAAAAGCAGACAGTTACTACTGTGAAGTAACGCCGTCCTGTTTAAAGCGTTAAATGACATAACTTATAACTAATAGTCTGTTGGTGTAGAATCAGTTGTGTTGTGAATTTTAGTTGTGGTGAGTGGAAACACACACACACACACACAGAGAGAGAGAGAGAGAGAGAGAGAGAGAGAGAGAGAGAGAGAGAGAGAGAGAGAGAGAGAGAACGAATAAGGCCCAATGATCTTGGACTTTTCCCAGGCAGGCAGGCAGAAACGTTACTAAAGATAGGCAGCATCAACAAACCCATGGATACGATCCTGTGACAAAACAAACGGCCGTTGTCGACACTGTAATAAGGGCCCTGTCAAAAGCCGCTTCAAGAAATGAGGGGCTGACGTCTGTCAGCGTGTGTAGATTCAAGAAACACTAACTGAACGATAAAAAGACCACTCTCTCACAAATTCCGGACTGTTCGATAATACTTCAATACCGGGCGACACTGTGGAACTACTGCCAGAGGCACGTCAACGTTTAGCGACCACAGCCTAAACTTCAAGTGCGTATTTTTGAATTATTCACTAATTAATTGTCGACTTTATTTGTACAACGATTGTTCTTGGCTACCACAAGGTGTAAAACGATGGTTTATTCTGCGACGCGTGTCAGGTTTGTTGTAACTATGGAACTGAAGAAGTTAAACTGACACTTAAGTTGGCTAACGGGACCAGAAGGGGCAGAAGTTGGAAGACTGGAGCAGTCGGTATAATGTTGACACTCCCACTGACAGCCTACAGATCTTAGGTTTGTGTTAAGGTTGCTCCGTGTAATAAATGTATGGAGCTGGAGTTAATTAACAATGGAGACACAGTTTGTTGAAGAAGGAACAGAGACAGTTAAAGTAATACATGGAACAGAGGGAGTTATAGTAAATTTGTGGAATAGAGAATGAGAAAGAGTGTTAACGTAATTATGTGGAACAAAAAGAGAGTTAACGTAATAGTGGGACACAGAGAGAAAGAGAGAGTTAACGTAATTATGTGGATCAGAGAAAGAAAGTTAACGTAATTATATTGAACAGAGAAAGAAAGATAGAGTTAACGTAATTATGAGGAATAGAAAGATATAGTTAATGTAATTATGTGGAACACAGAGAGAATGAGAGAGTTAACGTAATTATGGGGAACAGAGAGAGAGAGAGAGAGAGTTAACGTAATTATGTCGAATAGAGAGAGAGAGATATAGATAGTTAACGTAATTATATTGAACAAAGAAAGAAAGAGTTAACGTAATTATGTGGAACAGAAAGATAGAGTTAACGTAATTATGTGGAACAGAGAGAGAGCGTTAATGTAATTATGTGGAACAGAGCTAGAGAGTTAATGTAATAATATGGAACAGAGAGAGAGCGTTAATGTAATTATGTAGATTCGAGAGAGAGCGTTAATGTAATTAAGTGGAACAGAGCGAGAGAAT